CCTTCAGGAAGAAGCTTTGTAAAATTATAGATAAGGAAAAATGCTATGTGAGATTATAAATACGGAAAAGAAAGTAACAGGAATATGTAAGAGAAACAAGCTAGATTGAGAGTTCCTCTCCAATTAAACTTACTTCAACTACATGCCATGAAAAAGGTATCATGGCTACCATAAGAGTGTATGAGATGGGTAGGGATATTATGATGAAGGAACAGGAAGGAGGGAATAGTCACATGGTAAGAATAGAAAACTAAGATGATGCAGGGAGGAAAATATCAGAACAATCTCAGAAGTAGCCTAATTCCCATCCCAACGCTTGATTACATTCTGCTTCTCTGGTAGTTTCAACCAAAGGCTTCAGAAAAAAAATGGGGACTAAAGATACATCCAAAGCTTGATATCTACTACAGTCATTCTTGTTGGTCAGACATGAAAATTATAAACTAGCTAGTAACTTTTTTAAATGAGATCCTCTCCAAATAAGGGGTTTGATTTGTTTTGTGTGTTTTACCAAAATATATAGGAACTCAAAAGAAAGTTTCTACTATTAATGATTTTTCCCTTCTTTATGAAAGTGTACCCAGTTTAAAAAAAAATAAAATAATTAAAATTCAAAAATATATAAGATGAGAGGGTAAAAGCAAAATGCTATTAGAGCAGTGTTATTCCACTTAGACTTCTCTAGTAGAGATTTTGGAATTGTCAGACCTTGGATGCCATTCTAAATAGTATATTATACACTATTCCATCATTTTAAAAATTTAACAAAGGATTAAAATCTTCACTCCTTCATCAATGCAGATAGGTACTGATCATTTGCCAGATTAGTTGGAGGTAAATAATGAGGTATATAGTAGACTGAGAAAATGAAATTTCAAGTTGTTTTTAGGGAAAGAGGAAAATAAACCTTTATGTAATGTTTACTGTAATTTTCTTTAGTTTCTAATGATTTCTCCCCTATTTCTTATCCTTAATTAATTTATCTTACGTGCTATGTATGTCATCAGCTGCTAAAACCTAACTATCAAATGGTAAGAGCTCTATTAAGGCTAGAAATGAACTCTGTGGCAACTGTGTCCTGCTGCAAAATGCTTTATTTCAACTCAAATGATTTAACTAATGTAATTACCAATCAGGTCTTTCAAGAAAATATACACAGTTTAATTCTTATGATGAGTAAATACAGGCTCTTAAATTAAAGATTATATTATAAAAATACCTTTGATTGTCTAGTTCATTATAGAATTTCCTGGTATGTTCATTTATTCATAAGAAATACTTAAAGCACTCCAGGCACCTAATAGGAAATTAAATATAGCTGTATCTTAGAGGAAAATAGAAAAGTAGACTGTCTCATAGTATCACTCTACAATCTATCATTTATTATAATGGGTCTGTAATAGAAACAGTTTGTATAGGAGCTGAACAACTGATTAACTCTGGAAAAGTAATTTTTATATAGATACAAGTGAAATAAATAAAGTTAAACCTGATGAAGCTTTCACCTTTTGTGAAAGCAACTCTTGCTTAAACCACTATTTTTCTCTTGTAATTACCCTCTCATTTCTTCACCATCAGCCTTTCATCCTCTTGGATCAAACACACTGCCAAACAAGTTCTAAGCTCTCCCATCTTTAAATAAAAGACATACCTGCTTGGCCCACAACCTTCTACTTACGTTACAGTTTTCTATGTCTGTTTAGAGCAAACTTGAAGAAATTCTCTTTTCTCACTGTTCTACTGCTGGCTCCTATGCTTCTCTGAATGTTATCCACTGGAGCGTTGAACCTTAGCACTCCCACTTTATGGTCAACACCAATTCTACATTCCTGCATCTAAAAGCGTGTCTGAGACCTAATGAAATTGACCATCAGCACAATTTATGAAGCCTTCTTTATGGCCATGTTATCTTCTGTCAACATCTGTAACTTACTTTGGCTTCCTTATATTTTTTACTGGGTTTTTTTTTTTTCAGTCTTTCTTCCCACCCTCAGAATCAGGGTTTCTCTCCCTCTAAACTGTTGGTATTTTGAGCTAGGTAACTTTTTGCTTTGAGAGCTCATTCTGTGAATTAAAGGATGTTTAACAGCAAGCCTCACTTCTGCTCACTGGACACCAATAGCACACACACACACATATACACACCTCTAGTTATGACAAGCAAAAATGACTCCATATCCAGCCAAAAGTCCCCTGAGAGGTACAATCACCCGCAATTGAGAGCAACTTGGTCTAAAGTAGAGCAGTGGCATAGGGCTTGGTTGTGGGCCACCAGTTCTTTATCTGTTTAGAAGGTGCACTCATCTCTCCCATCTGAGAAGTGATCCAGAAAGTTAACAGTTTAGGATAGAAAATATTCTGAGTAACTCTGTCTCCTAATTTCCTGAAATTCAGGCTCTATTTTAATGGGGGGGGGGTATACAGCTCAGCAGTAGAGCGCTCGCCTAGCATGTGTGAGGCCCTGGGTTCGATCCTCAGCACATGTAAAAATAAATAAATAAAATAAAGGTATTGTGTCCAACTACAACTAAAAAATAAAAATATTTTTTAAAAAAGAAGAAGAAAGCTTACAGTTATGAATACAGACCTAAATACACTGGAAAGTGATTTTGACCCAAATATGTCTCATTTAGTGCAAAGCAAATGTAAGTTCAGCTCACTTCTCCTTAGCCACATCCCCAAAATGACCTCTGCAGGTCCATCACCAACCAGTGATGTCAGAATGGAAAGAAATTGCAGTCTTAACTGATAGATTACAGTTAAATACATTACTTTTGGGGAGCTGACAAAACAAAATCCACACAAATGTGTTTCTGTGGCCCTTTCTAGAACCTCAAATGAGGCTTATGCAAGAGGAAACCCTGAATCTTCTTCTGCTTCTAAGTAAGATACCACATAAAATGCTTTCAATCTAAACCCAGTAAAACTAGATACTGTCAAATAGATACATAGTTTTTACCATTTCCAGGCCTGGGTCTCCTGGCTGCAAACAAGTATCTGTCCCTAAAGCCCTGGAAAAGAGGAGACCAGCACTCCTCCAGGAACTGAATTGAAATCCGATAATTTTCTGTATTTCTGGGTCATTATTTTAGAGGTGATAAAAGTAGGAAAGTAAGCAGAGGTTCAATATAAGTTTTCCATTCTTTGCATCATGACACACTTCCAAATCACTCTCAAATAAGGGAATGTTAAGTGATGTTTCATTGTTAATAATGATAACTGTTATTTATTATTTAATACATACCAGATTCCTTGTCCTTTTTGCAAACCCTAATTCTTATAGAAACCTGTGAGATTTATCATTTACAAATGATGTGTGAGATACAATGAAGTAATATAAGTAAATGCTAATTATTAGAAATCTATGGGTTTTTTTTAAAAAAACAAGAACTTTTAAGCAAATTATTAAACTAATGTTAAGATTGTGACTACTTTGTAAATGAAATTAACATAAACTTCTGGTTATATTCTTATCCGTGTTCCTGATATTCTTTAGGGATTCTGCGTGTTTAATGAACTTTAGTCAGTTTTAGCTATAACTAGGACTAAAGTTCAGGCTATAAATACTTTCTCAATGGCATTAACTGCATTTTCACATGGAATCTTTTGAAGAGTAATTCCATTGGCCATTATCTTTTCTTTCAGATATTGGTTTTAAGTTTAAATTTCTTTTTTTCCTGCTCTGCTTATGTTGTATCCAGAAATACTGTCGCAAAATGATCTGCTGTCTTTTCTGTTTGGAAAGTTCCCAGAAAATAATTGTCGTAGAACAGAGTTTTCTTATTTTTACAACATGGTAGGAATAAAACAGTCACCAACAGCTGTATCATTCTAAAAATAACCTGTGCCACACAACTCTTAAGCCCATATTGGTTTTTCAGTCTGATGATATTATCCAAAGGATCATTGCACATGATAATAATAAACATAATAATACTTTATAATGGTGGTTCTCATATTTTATCTATATTTGTTTTTTAAAATTTTTTCAATATAATATTTATTTTTTAGTTGTAGTTGGACACAATACCTTAATTTTATTTACTTATTTTTATGTGGTGCTGAGGATCGAACACAGGGCCTCACCCGTGCCAAGCGAGCGCTCCACCGCTGAGCCACAACCCCAGACCCTATCTATTTATTTTTTATTGGTTCTTTTTAGTTATACATCATAGTAGAATCCATTTTTATATAATTATGTAAGCAAGGAACACATCATACTCTAATTAGGACCCATTCTTGTAGATGTACACAATGGTGGGACTCACTATGATGTATTCATATATGTACATAGAAAAATTATATCAAATTGTTTCCACTGTTTTACCTTTTCCTATCCCCATCCTTTTCCTTTATTCCTCTTTGTCTAAGACACTGAACTTCTATTCCTTCCCTCACACCCGCCCTTCTTGTGAGTTAGCATCCACGTATCAGAGAATATTTGACCTTTGGCTTTTGGGGATTGGCTTTAAAAAATTAATTAGCATGAAAATCTCCAGATCCATCTATTTACCAGCGAATGTCATAAAGTCATTCTTCTTTATGGCTGAGAATATTTCATTGTATATAGAAACCACATTTTCTTTAGTCATTTATCTATTGAAGGGCACCTAGGTTGGTTTCATAGCTTAGCTGTTGTGAATTGAGCTGCTATAGACATTAATGTGGCTGCATCACTCCAGTATGCTGATTTTAAATCTTTTGGATATATACTAAGGAGTGGGATAGCTGGGTCAAATGGTGGTTCTATTCCTAGTTTTTTGAGGAATCTCCAAACTGCTTTCCAGAGTGGTTGCATCAATTTGCTATCTCACCAGCAATGTATGAATGTACCTTTTTCCCCACATCTTCGCCAAAATTTGTTGTTATATTCTTTAAACTTTATTAATGAGCCAATTTTATATGTAACTAACTTAACATAGTTCAAATGATTTTGAAGAAAGAATGAAATTACCTTTTACCTTACTTCTGATTAACACCATGTTATTCTTTCTGTTCAGATGTTTGGAAACTGGACTTTTGGCACTTTGGTCTTTACAGTCATGGTTATTACAGTCACAGTAAAGGTATGATACTGGAATTAGAAACATAGATACATTTTGTGCCTGTATAATTAGCAGTTGAATATTCTTTTTTTCTCCCCCCCCCCCACTATCAGTAGATGTTTTCCTTATTCAACAGTGGATAATTTCACTGATTGCTATTTTAGTATTCATTTAAATTTTTTATCTGAAGTTTTTGGAAAACTTCAGCCTATTTTTATGGTCAAATAAAAGTCACTGAAATTGTACAGCTCTGTATATATACAAAACACACAGTTGTTTTAGACTATGGAGTTGAGATAGAATCATCACATGAAATTTCAGTGCTGCTTTCTCACAGGCAAAATAATAAACTTGAAATTATGTAACTTTCTACTAGTAGCCTTTCATTAATACTTATATTCTGTGAGACTGTGCGGTGAGACTTTTAAATACGTAATGTGCTTTATCCTTGAGTTTTATCTAAGAGGATAATGTTTTATTATTTTACATTTCTAAGACTTTTCAATTTTTTTTTAGATGGCTTTGGAAACTCATTTTTGGACTTGGATCAACCATCTTGTTACCTGGGGATCTATTATATTTTATTTTGTATTTTCTTTGTTTTATGGTGGGATTCTCTGGTGAGTGACTTTAATTATATCTATTCAGCTATAATAAATATTTATAGTTATGGGTTATATCATGAATAAATTCTGCTCAGAATAGTTTTGAACCCCATCCTAGCAATAAGTTCACTTCTTTCAGTTTATATTGTGTTTGCCTTTTGTGCCTTTGATCTGTTTACTAAGCAAAAACTTTAGAAGTTAGGCAAAAAAATTTGGATTTAGCTAATCATCAACTTTTATTTAGGATCATAGAAGGATACTCTATGCATTTTGTTTGTCTGTAATCCTCTTCCCAGAGTACTCTTAAAATTGTTTATTTTCAGCCATGTGCCGTGGTGTATGCCTGTAATCCCAGCGGCTCAGGAGGCTGAGGCAGGCAGATCATGAGTTCAAAGCCACCCTCAGCAATTTAGCAGGGACTTAGCAGTTCAGTGAGACCCTGTCTCAAAATAAAATACAAAATAGGGCTGTGGATGTGGCTCAGTAGTTATTTATTTTCAAATATGATGTGTTTCTATTATATCTTGATTAAGTTATCTTTCAGGGTTTTTTTGTTTGTTTGTTTTTGTTTTTTTATTAAGCCCACTGTCTTTCTTCTCAGGCCATTTTTAGGTTCCCAGAATATGTACTTTGTATTTATTCAGCTCCTATCAAGTGGTTCTGCTTGGTTTGCCATAATCCTTATGGTTGTAACTTGTCTCTTTCTTGATGTTGTGAAGAAAGTATTTGACCGACAGCTTCATCCAACAAGTACTGAAAAGGCACAGGTAAGCACTTTTTATTTCAATATCTTTTTAGTTAAGAGCTTTAGTTATAAACAACTATGATTATAATTTGCTTATGTCATAAAATAGAAAATAACTCATTCCTATATCAAGTATTTTATAATATAAACATTATTAAATGTGATATTTTTAAGTTGTTTAAAATTATATCATGTTATTAATAAAATTCCAGGTATTTAAATATCAAACTTTCAAGTTTTATTCACATAATATTAGAAAATGTATTAAATAATATTATCAAGTTATTCCAGATACATCTGAGATATATGGCCTTGTCTTAGAAACGTTAGAATTCAAGTAATATTTTTTATGTTATATGGTCTTTAACAAAAGAATATGAAATAAATTCTTTAACCTAAATAATTTTTACAGAATGAATTTTTATAAAATATATTCTTTCACTAAACATTTATTAATAAACATTAAATTACAGCAAATATTAACAGCATGTTACATAGTGCTTAAGAATATGATGTTTAGATCCTGATAGATCTTAATTTGAATCCCAGCTCTGCCACTTAGTAGTATTATGAGTTTGAATTCTAGTTTCCTCAATGGTAAAGTGATAGATATATCTTTTTCATTCCTACTGTAGTTAAGATTAAGTGAAAAAATGTTTAAAAATAGTATATGCCCAAGAAATGGTACATATTTAATTGAATGTGCCTTTTTTGTATGTTTAATTGGTATAGAATATATTTTCATCTCCTTTTATGCCTTGTTAAAAGCTGAATTTAAGCCAGGTACAGTGTATGCATCTGTAATCCTACCCAGCTACTTGGAAGACTGAGGCAGGAAGATGACATGTTTGAGGCCATCTTCTGCAACTTGGCAAGACCCTGTTTGAAAATTTAAAAAAATAAAAAGGACTAGGGGTAGAGATCTCAGTGGTAGAGGGACCCTGTGGGTTCAATCCCCTGCACTGGGGGGAAAAAAAAGAGCTTGAGTTCCTTAATCATTTAGTCCAAGCCAGGTTGATATTTTTTCAACATTATTTTTGTTTCATGCCAAGCAAATTTTATTAAGATTTTGAAAATGTGTATTCATCTTACAAACAGAAAAAGTGCTAAGTATTTAGTGATTTAAATTATGATTTCTAAATAGTACATTGGTTTTAATTTATCTACTTCAGTAGTTTTTTTGTTTTGTTTTGTTTTGTTTTTACTTTGGTAGTTTAATACAAATACTGTCTTATTTGGATTAGAATTCAAATGCTGTTTCAGCCATTTATAAGATAGCTGTATGTCCTTGATTAAGTCATTTTCTTAGGCCTCAATTTCCTTCTCTATAAAAATCACAATAATAATTATTACCTTATGAGGGGCTGGAGTTGTAGCTCAGCAGTAGAGTGCTTGGCCAGCACATGTGAGGCACTGGGTTCCATCCTCAGCACCACATAAAAATAAATAAAATAAAAGTATTGTGTCCAACTACAACTAAAAAAAGATTGTAAAATACTTATTATTACCTCAAGTGATTTTTGTAAGAAAGAATGAATATAAGCATCTGTCATCACTGTGCCTCTTATATAGTTGGTCCAAAATTTTTTTAAAAGTTGTCATTTTAAGTATGAGGAAGTGAGAATGTATCTATAATATTAATCTCTAAATGGGACTGAAAAATCAACATAATTGATTACTGTCTGCCTATGCATATATTTATATCAATATGGACAGACTTTTCCACTCTGCAATGTATTACTTAAATCCATTACAGACAGGTTTGTCTGTTTGTCTGTCTTACTATTTCTAAACTTGGATTTTTGGTTTTTTATTTGGGGGTGTTTTTGTTTGTTTTTGTTTGTTTGTTTGTTTTGCTTTTTTTTTTTATTATTGGGGATTGAACCCAGGGCATTTAACCACTGAGTCATGTCCCCAACTCCCTTTTTTTTTTTAATATTTTTTAGTTGTAGTTGGACACAATATCTTTATTTTATTTATTCATTTTTTTATGTAGTGCTGAGGATCGAACCCAGCGCCTTGCACATGCTAGGTGAGCGCTATACTGCTAAGTCCCAGCCCCAGCTTCCCCCAGACCTTTTTTATATTTTATTTAGAGACAGGGTCTCACTAAGTTGCTTAGGGCCTCACTAAATTGCTAAGGCTGGCTTTGAACTCACAAAACTCCCTTAGCCTCCAGGGCTGCTGGGATTGCAGGCATGCAACACTGTACCTGGCTTAAACTTCAGATTTGTAAATTTACTATTTCTAAACTTTTCATTTATAGTTATTATTAATACATATTAATGTATTATTTTTAATACATTGTCTATGATACTTTCCTAGATTTTTATGAAGAACAATTTTCTTCCCCCTTGGCCTATATGAAGTTGTATTTAATGAAAATGTATGAATAATATCACTTAAAAATGTAATTATTTATAAAAGTAAATTGATCAGATTTATCTACATTTATCCTTTGAAATGCTGTGGTAGACAGAGCATTTATAAACTTTAGTTGTGTTTTTCATAGAGATTTCTTAATTGATATGAAGGTGATAATATTAGAATTTATTACCTTTTCTATAGCCTCTTTCCAAAGGATTACATAGGAAATATTTGGTACCTTAAGGTAGGCCCTTCACAAGAAAAAGGTTAAAAGTGCTTATGTGTATTTTGGTTCTTAACATAAGTTAAAGTGGAATGAGCATCAAATCAATAACTGAATCTATACGTGAAAGCCAGTATATTCTCTCTTTTTGACTCACTAAATTCATTTCCAAATGACTTACCCAGATGTTCTAGGCAGTCTCTTTCAAGGAAAAAACCTCCATTTCCACTCAAGGATCTTCTAGCACACTGGTGGCATTTGGTGGTTGGTTGGTGGTTGGTTGGTTTGTTTTATTTTTTACTGAAACAGTATATGGTCATTCAAATCCTATATGTGACATTATTTCTTGGCTACAGGCAGTAATCATTTTTTCAGCTTCTGCCATCACTTCTGGTTTCAAATAATGAAGAAATGGTTAGAAAATTGTCAACTACTTCATTGTTTTACTAAAAGTAACAAGAAAAATCATATTAAAAGAAGAACTATCAGCATTTATTGTGAGCTTTATTCTTCTGCAGAATAACCATGTGGTGTTACAAGTGAAAAAATATTTTTTTTGATGGCAAAGTCAACACAGTTCAAATGTCAGTCATGTATGTGTACCATGTACATTTCCTACTCTTGTGGGAACAGATGTTCAATATTTACAAACCTTGTCCTGTGTCTGTCTCATAGGTGATGAATAGAGCTCACTGACTTGTTGTGTGTTCCATCCTTTTTCTGTCCACTTATAGATGTACTCCAACACAGTGGCTTTAAGTGATGAGTTCATCGCACTGCAGCCTTTATCGAGGGCAAGGAATCAGCTGAGCAAACTTAGGTAGAGTAGGAGGAATAGAACCTCATTAACTCTTCTGCATGCTAAAGGTCAATTAAACCATATCCAAAAGATAGGCAGAGGCATGAATAAAGAGTGGGGTGTTTTTTGTTAGCACAGCTCTGTCTCTGACTAATTTGACCTTTATTAGTATTATGTTAAAGCCTAAAAATCATATCCATTTCTTCTTTGAGAAGAAAATTCAGATGAAAATTCAATATAACAGGACAGAGATCTGTACCTTGTTATATATTTTACACTTGAACTATCTTTTCTAGCACAATTTTAATGCTTCTGCTTGTCATATTGTTCATATTTAAGAATGTTCCTGCATGTTGAGTAATTAAAGCTACAGAAATTCATCATAAAATTAAAATACTTAAGTTATAGTTACTTGGAAGTGAGATTTGCCCATTTTTTTTATCTTGCCTTAATCTGTGTTGTAAATACATGTGTGTTTGTGTTTGTACACTGTAATGGCTGCCTAAGCATTTCATATCCTTGCTACTATTCAGAGCATCTATAAATTGAACAATATATTTTATGTCTTATATAAACCTTTATTACCACAGACATATCAGTTCTGTCATGGAAATTTAAATCCTAGAACTTTTGATAACAGCATATCATAATAACATACTAAGTTTAATGCCATTTAAGTTTTGAAGAGAAAAAAGTCATGTAACTAAAGTTTTTCTTTAGTTTTGACACTTTTCAGTTTCTTGCCTTATCAATATCTTATAGATTCTTAATCATGTAAATTTTGATATTGCTTTTTCTTCTCAAGGTTTCTAATCTTTCCAAATTCTCTTGATTAAATGAATGGTTTTGACAAAGTACCACTTAATCTTTTTATGTAATACTGACTTTATAGTTTTGAGCTGTCTTAAAGTTTTACCAAACCTTTGGCCTTTTTATTATTAACTCAGAATTTTTTTTAAATATTGTACTTTGAATTTCTTTCAAAGATAATCATTATAGAGGAATATACAAATGGATTTCTAAGTGCTAAACTAAATTTCATATTTAAAACAAGAAAAAAACAAATGTAAAGATTTGCTTTCATTTTTCTTTGAGCCAGGTATGTATATTACAGCTTTATCAGTAGGAAACAGTGACTATATATGTCACATTTTTTAACATCTAATTATTTAATTCTAAGGCAGTAGGAGAGCTCATTATTTTAAAAAACACATTGGTCAATGAAGATAACTTTTGCATTGCGAATAATCATATTGTTATGAAATCACATTTTCACATATCATGTTACCTTAAATCAAGTGACTCTTTTTGAGCATTACTAGACCTAAAAAGAATGAGGAAGTATATTATAATCAGAGAGATCCCAGGCTCTCTAATACTGTAAGAAATTAGTAAGTTTAACATTTCTCTGCAAAAGATCACAATGAGAGCAGGTTGATCATCCCCTGTTAGGTGATGTAACCACAGAAAGAGAGCACTGGTTAGCCAGTGACCCACCTGAATGCTGATGCTGTACTTTTTGCTACTACCAGTGGTCCTAACCAAGCATACTCCCAGTTATGTTCTTGTTTCTGGGCCTCCACATTCTTCACCCATTACATGATCATTTTATGTACTCTGTTCTATTAAATTAATATCAGCAGCAAAGAAAAACAAAAAGAAGGAATATGCTCAATCAAAGGCCAGGGAGAAATAACAGTAATTCATATGAGCTATGAGTGGCTCCTAGGTGGGCATTTCTTCATAGCTGATGGTAAACATCTCTGGAAATACACCCTATAAACTTTGAATACACCTTTTTTTTAACTGTTTTTTTTAAGAGAGAGAGAATTTTTTTAATATTTATTTTTTAGTTCTCGGCGGACACAACATCTTTGTTTATATGTGGTGCTGAGGATCGAACCCGGGCAGCGCGCATGCCAGGCACGCATGCCAGGCGAGCGCGCTACCGCTTGAGCCACATCCCCAGCCCCTTTTAAACTGTTTTGAATGGTATTCCATAGCTGTGATCCATAGTTGCTGAGCTATTTAATCCTGGTGATGAAGAGCAAGATTGTATAGATATCATATATCTTTAAGAACTCTCAAATCTTAATCAGGTTAGTACTTCTTAAGATTGTTTAACAAGCCAGGTGTGGTAGCACACGCCTGTAATCCCAGTGGCTCGGGAGGCTAAGGCAAGAGGCTGAGGTAGGAGGATTGCAAGTTCAAATTTCTAGCCTCATCAACTCAGCAAGGCCCTAAGCAATTTAATGAAACCCTATCCCATCTCCTGGCTGGGTGAACCCCTGGGTTCAATCCTTGGTATGGGGGTGGGAGAAATCCTTTAACACATACTATTTATACTTTTCTTTTGACTAAAGAGTTTCTGTGTATTATAGGCAAAACTAAACTGTCTTCACGTGAACTTACTATACTCTTGAAACCGAGGAATTCTACTGCCTTTTTTTTTCTATGTAAGAAATGTACTATAGTATTTTTCATAGATACAGTTATTGGGCAGTAGTCCTAAGACTGGAAGAACACGGAGATGAGGCAGAATTTGTCTTTTATTAATTATGGACATGTTCTCATAATTTAAGAAAAGTTAAAATAAAAAAGGCTATGGCACATTTTTAAATTAAACTTCTTTAGAAGGCCTGTAATACAAATATAAGATAAAAAGAACTAAGATTCATGAAATTAGTTGGTCTTCACTAAAAATATATTTCAGATTAAAGATTAATGTTAACAAGTAGATCAAATCAAGCTCTTTGTTCACATGTCCAAAATTTGTAAGGTTATAGGAGCCTTGTTCTCTGCTGAATTCCATTTAGAGAAGTCTCCTAAGTTGGAAGCATGAGAGGTGAGAAAATGGACATACCTTTGCAATAAGAATCCAACCTTGTAGCAATGAGTTTCATAGAAGACAAAGAATTATTTTAAAGGAAACAGTTTTACTAGGCTGTATATTCAGTAAGAGATTTGTGCACTGGGAAATCATGGCTTTGTGTGCTTTGTTGTGTTCCCTTTAAGAAGCTCCTATTAACCCTACCTTGTGATAGTAAATGTGTTATTGTATGAAGATTCATTTGTGCCTTACACACTGTGGACCCAACTTATTGCTTTGATTCTAAACCTATATAATGTGAGAGTATCATTCTGTAATATGAGACTTGTTGCTTTTCTGTCCTTCTAGATGGAAGAAGATAAGGGTTCAGTCAGCTCAGCATATGAATTTGCTGAAAGCCAGCACAGAGGGGAGGACAGTAGGCACCTGCTAGCTGAGGCTTGCAGCCAGCAGGACAGTTGTTACGTGCACTAGGTAGTACTGCGCTGGACCTTCCTGGGGACTCATCTGCTAAGTTCTCATGCTTGGGCCATGCCATGGAGCACTGACCTGATGTTTCCATGTTTACTTTTCTAATTCCTTCACTGTTTCTCATGACGTTGTTTTAGTCTTTTCCTTTTTTTGTGGTCTTCACACTTTTTATGTCTATCACTGAGTATCTTATTAATCTTTCTTTGGAGTTACAGTTTCAACACCTCTTGTCTTATATTCAAGGAATCATTCCTTCTCACTTCTTTTGTTTTTTAATATTTTTAGTTCTGGATGGACACAGTACCTTTATTATTTATTTGTATGTGGTACTGAGGATTGAACCCAGTGCCTCACACATGTGAGACAAGCGCTCTACCACTGAGCTATAACCCCAGCCCTTCACTTCTCCTTTTGAAAATATGTTATGCTGTATTTCTGACTTCCAAAATCATTTTCCCCTTTGAAGTTGTGGCTGTATGACATTTTATACATTTTAACTTAGACATTTATAAGTGGGTGGCTTATAAGCCCACCTCTTGAGTTAAATAATCAAACAGATAAGTGTTTAGACTTAGTGATTTTCTGTTGGCATATATTTAACAAACTTTCAGATCTTTTCATAAATTTTTGGAGTCAAATCTTTGTAATAAAAAATATGAACTGAAAAGGGTTTAATTTACTCTCCTTTTAAGGAGTAAGACCTAACTGCTTCTAGACCTAATTAGGATATGCAAAAGTGTTTTGATTGGTAGTAATTATGAAGGATAAAAATGCCTACCACTAATAATTACATTTTTACTTGGACTAATTGCCATTATTATAATTACTGATCAAAAAGATGCTGTTGTCTTGTGTGGGATAATCAAATGATAAAGCAAAACTTTAAAACAAAGTCACTTAAAGATTATATACTTTTCAACTATTATGTATCAGACCATATTATATAACAGAACACATATAATAATTGGGAAAAATCCTAATTATTCTATAAAACATGTTTTAAAATTCGATTTCTTTAGTGAATTGACCTAAATGGATTGTCCTAAGTAGAAAATTCCTCTCAGCTATTAGAAACTTAAAAACTCTGAATTTTTATTTTGCTTTGGTATGCATCATGTGATTGTATGGTGCTTTAATATAGAAAGATTTTTATTTTCTCAATATACCCCAGTTGAGCTACAGGGAAAGCTCATGTAAAGAACTTAGCTTGGCCAAAAAAAAAAAAAAAAGATCTTGCTTGGCTAGTATTTGTATTATGCTCCAAGCAGATAATCTACTAGGGTACCTAACTATGCTAGAACTATAAAATTAATGTCCTCTATGATAGTAGTTCCCCAAGGGTTCTAGTTCAAGTTGGTATCTCATTAGACGAGGATATGGTACTACTCTGCTTTAAGATGTACATTAAAATGTACAAGATAGCTGGGAATTAGGTTCTTAGAATGCTCCCATTAAATAATAGGGGCCTTATTATTATTACAAGAACAATTAGTGAATTTTCTCCCTTATACCCTCTGATATTAATTTATGCTCCCCATTAAGTTGGAGGATTAATGTTTTTCAGGTACTGATACTTTCCCTTACCTAAACTATAAATTCCTAGTTGTATATTGTCATTTATATAACCATTTGAATAAGCACATCATTAAAATAAGGGGACTTTAGTCCCCTTTGAAACTGAGTGTGACAAATAATCAAAATAAGCTTACCTTTTAAATAT